AAAAAATAATAAAAGAAGAAGTCTGAGTTAGGGCAGGAGCTGGAATAAAAAGGGAGATGAGGGACAATAAGGTGGAGCAAGAGACTGAGTTGGAGAGAGAGGACAGAAAAAAAAAACAGAAAATTTAGGGGGGAATGGGGAAAAGAAAAAAGAGGGGGGGAAATATTTAGGGTGGAATGAGGAAAAGAAAAAAGAGAGAGAGAGAAAAAAAGAATTTGAAGAGCCTCTTTCAGACTGTCTCTGTTCTCATATTATACCACATGTACAGCCATATGCAGAACCGAATCCCCTGGTCTTAGCTAGCCAATGGCAGTTCCCCACGACAGACTGAACACAGTCTACAAGGCCTAACTTGAGTTTCCCTACCCTCAGGATTGAACTCCACTCAGTTCTATTACAGGTTGCCCCTGCCCTTTCTTTAAAGATGTTCAAAGTTGGGAGCTCAGAAAACTACCCTTCATGGGAACCTATGCCTCTGCAGAATTGGTCTAAGGACTGGCCCAATCAGGACGTTTGAGAACGGTGGAGGGGGGGTCGTGGGGGTGTTTCAAGGGTGCCCACGTGGCTACCTTCCTTACTGGGTCTGTTGTCGCGCAGTCCGGGAGGTCGCGCACCCGCCGGGTGATCTCAGGCAGGCAGGCAGCTGAAGCTAGATTTAATGTTTCTATAAAATCTTTTGAGACGGTACCATCATTTCTATTATTTTCACTTTTCAAAGAACAAAATGGAGCTAAAAGTGGTTATGTAATTTATCTATCTGTGGTTATACCACTATGAGACAGAACCATTAATGGTAGAGCTGTGGCTCAAACCGAGGTTGGCCTAGCTTCTGAGGTGCATTATTCTCCTGTTCATGTTGCCACCAAGGATAAAACCTGTGATGATAGAGAAATGGCAAGTTCTGGTGATGTATGTTTGTTACCATGGGTCACCCATTTTCAAAAAAGTAGAAGGTACAAGGAGGTACTCAGCAGTGAAACTATGTGAACATACTTTATAAAATCATTTGTTTTTAATCACAGTGTAGACAATAGTTTTTGAAACTTTATGGCTTCTTCAGTTCTAGGTAAAGTATAACATTATGGCATACTTTAATTCAGAACACGGAAGAGAAATTTCTGGTCAATTAAAATTTTTCCAGAAATAAAATTTCAGTCCTGAATGCAGGGACCACTTATTGAAAATTTACTACAATACTTATAATAAAAACTCTTCTGAAATCATATGGGGGAAAAAAAGGCATAATTTTGGTGGTTAATAATATGGCTTTGGAAACAAGTTCTAGCCATGAAGCTTACTAGTTAATATCTATATCCATTTTTGCTTTTCCTAGAAAAACTAAGAGGCATCAGGATAAATAATATATATAAAGCTGGGGTGATTCCACATGCCTATAATCATAACACTTAGGAGGCTAACATAAGAGGATCACCAGTTCAAGGCCTGCCTGATCTACATAACAAGTTTGAGGCACTATATGTACTAGAATACGTGTGTGTGTGTGTGTGTGTGTGTGCGCGCGCGCGTGTGTGTATGTATGTATTCTTAAATTTTCATTATGAAATAGGAATAATTTATGAAGACCTACCTCAAAATAGTGTTGTAATTTTAGTAAATATCAGTCATTTTCTGGGTTGATAGCTTTATATTTTTATAACTATATTACCAATAAATTGTTACAGAATTGCTCTATTAGCTAAGAACATTTACTACAGTGTAACTTTGTCAATTTATTATAAAAAGTAAAAGAGGTGATAATAAAAGAAAACATCCCATAATTCAGCAACTATATCAGCTGTCATGCCTCGCCTGTAGCACCTGGCTTTAATCTGTTCTAGACCAAGTGATAACTTAAGCTCTGATCATTTGTTAGTAGTCACCTTTGTAGCAACTTTTGAAGTGAGGAAGCATTATGACTGGATTTTACTTGGGTTAACAATTTAATAGTAGGTCTAGAACTGAATATTGCTGTGGAAAATGAGAATCTGTATCTGCCTGTCACCCAATACTTAACTCATAGTCTTTCTTAGAATACATACTTTTTCATTTATGGAGCTTTATCCTATGTGAACTGATTTTTTGCCTCTTTGCTTTAGGGTAAAAGACAATTAGGTAATAATAAGAGAAGCAGAAAGAAGTGAAAAAATTGTATATAATTTATAAAGTTCTTTATCACAGATAAAGCCTTTTAAAAAGCCTTCTCAATTCTTTAAAATGCATCATATGACTGTTGTCTCAGATAAATGTAAGTACTTTGTATCTGGGCCAAGGGCCAAATGCAGTATAGAATCTGTTCATACAAGAAAGGAGAGCAAAACAAAACGAGAAGAAAAATAATTTAAAAGGCTTTAATGCTCCTGGGCCAGTGTCTAAAAGCATTTGTGTAAGAGAATGAGAGTAGAATGTACTAAAGAATATCAAAGTAGTTGTGGATTACTTTAAGCATTGCTATTTTGTGGCAGATGGAATTTGTGTAATAGCTCTTGTAATCTGTACACCCTCTGACCTCTGAAGAAATGTCATAGAGACAGTCGTAGTGTAGGTTGACATCCAGCCATATCTGAAGAAGTGTGATCTTCTGGAGGTGCTGGCGTAGTGATATGTTAGTGCTGTGTGGGGACTATGTGCTGACCAGTTCCTCTAAGTCAGTGTGCATGGGCATCACTGCTACTTGTAAAACACGGGCTTCATTGTCAGTCTTTGATACAATGATGACTAAAGGGTTATTAATTAATTGTACACAGAGATTGTGATTTAGGCTGGCTTCTAAGTCATACCACTAATACAATCCAAATGATAGGCATTTTCTTTCTCTCTGGTTTTGATACTTTAACAAAGTGGGTATTGGTATTGGTAGAAACTTGTAGTATTCTGAAGTTAGGTTGTTGGATTCTGTGCTAGTAATTTATAACATTAAAACAATTATAAAGGTAATGTAAGTTCAGCATGAAAAATTTGGAAATTAGTCAAGCATTTTTAAAAGCAGTAATTACTCCTTAAATTTTTATAGACACATTTCTACTCATGCATTTTCCTATAAGCATAAACATTTTCTTTTCAATTTTTTTGTTTTGCTTTTTGAGACAGGGTCTTGCTGTAATTCAGGCTCTCACTACATAGCCCACACTATATAGCCATATATAATACCTACTAGCTGTGAAACAGGTTTCCAGGTTAGAGATATATTTACTGGGAATGTGATGTGGTGCTAGAGCCATGGGTTACATCCCCTGCACACACTTCAACATACACATGAAATAAGAAATGTGTTTGGACTTTTCTGGGTATAGTTTTTAAAGTCTTTGTAACTCTTCAGGTGTAGAACTCATATAATTCCATTCCTAAACTCTTTCTTGTTATATAAAGGAAGAATTATTATTATTATTATTATTGTTGTTATTATTGTCAGGTAAATACTTACGGAGATAAGGAAAATATTGTTTTACCAGTGGTATAGAACAGGAAAATATTGTTTTTACAGTGGTATAGCCAGCAGACTTTCTGCTGTGGGTCAGATATATTTGGCCCTTTAAATTTTGGACTGTAGAATCTGTTTCCACTACTTAGTTTTGGCATTATAGAGCAAAAGCTGCCATACAGAGAATGTCAATAGTAACAATGGCTATGTTCTAAGAGAATGTTATTTATAGAAATATATGAAATTTAAATTTTTTGTAATTTCCATATGTCACAAAATATTCTGATTTTTAAAAACTGTAAAAACGTAAAATCAGTTCTTAGCTCTTAGGTTCCATAAGAAGAGAAGGCAGGTTGGATTTTGTCTGTGAGCTGTAGTTTGCTACCTCAGTATAGAATGCTAGCTTTCTGTATAATTTTAATTCAGCTTTAAATAAGTGCAAAAGCCATACGTAGGCAATAGGAAACATACTTTGAATCTGAATTTTGTGCTTTTCCTGGGCTAGCAGTATTCAGTAAAGTAATCTCTAGGAAACTCAGGCATTGTTGGTGAGCTTCAGGTCCCTGTTAGCCTCCCAGTCCTGAAGTTAAAAACACCTGCCATTCTACAGTTTGCCATGTTGGTCAACAGTAATGCTTGTTGGGTGTCGCCCATTAAATGCAAAATCGATGTATAATATTTTCAATTGAAGATGAGGTTATTAGGATTTAAACTCTCTGTAAATCAAGCATAAATGTGTAAAACAATTTTGTTAAATTATCATAGCATATTCCTTTTTTATGTAAGTAGTAAGGATGGCTTTATAAATTTGAAGATGAAAATCTATCTTTAAAAAAATCTTCTGCAAAGACAATTTGAAAGTATCTTTGAGATACTTCCATATTTTTTGCTTACATGTTTAATTTCAAGAATTTTAAAGAAAATAACTTATGAGAGAAAAAAAATTTTTTATTTTGTACTGGGGATCAAACTCAGGACCTTGTGCTTATGAAGCAGGCAGTGGGTACCACTGAACCAAATCCCAGGCCTTATGAGAGACTTCTTAATGAGAGGCATCAGGATTTGCTCTATTGAACTTTTTCTTGTCCACAGGTGGAGATATACTGCGCCTTGACACACTTTTAGAATGGTGGAGAGAAAAGAATGGTTCCTTCTGTTCCCGGCTCATCATCATATTAGACACGGAGAATTCAACCCCTTGGGTCAAAGAAGTAAGAAAGGTTAATGACCAGTATATTGCAGTGCAAGGAGCAGAGATGGCAAAGGCAGTAGATATTGAAGAAGCCGATCTACCACAGCTGGGTGATTTTACAAAAGACTGGGTTGAATATAACTGCAACACCAGTAATAACATCTGCTGGACTGAAAAGGGACGCACAGTGAAAGCAGTGTATGGTGTGTCAAAACGCTGGAGTGACTACACTCTGCACTTGCCAACAGGAAGCGATGTAGCCAAGCACTGGATGTTACACTTTCCTCGTATTACATATCCACTTGTGCATTTAGCAAATTGGTTATGTGGTCTGAACCTTTTTTGGATCTGCAAGACTTGTTTTAGGTGCTTGAAAAGATTAAAAATGAGTTGGTTTCTTCCTACTGTGCTGGACACAGGACAAGGCTTTAAACTTGTCAAATCTTAATTTGGACCCCAAAGAAGGGTATTTTTGAGAGTTCGTATTACCAGTTATCACTTGCCATTTTTTTGTATGCTGTATTTTTATTTGTGGAAAATATCTTGCTACTACTGTAGCTGCTTTTACTTTTTCTTTTCTCAAGTAAATTATGGGATTTGGGAGGTGTTGAGAATAAGCATTTTATATTAAAAGTATGTGGGAAGTCACTGACTATGTAAATGTATGATGTTAAAAATAACTGCACTTTCAGGAATGTTTGCATTTGCCTCTAATTAGAAAGAAAACAATTGTCTATGCCCTACAGTGGCCAGTGAAGAATTTTACTCTAATGCCTTGTTTTCTAGGCATACATTGGAGATTGTAGATCTGACAGATTTGTTTACTATTTTAAAACTACCAATTTACTAACAAATTTCTTTTTTATGAACAGTTAGGTTTGAGTCCGTCCAAGGCCATTTGAAGAACTGTAAACATTTCTTAGAAAAAGAAGAGGCCTACCAAAAATGAATGCAAAATTTGCTTACACTCCATCACATTTGGATATTGGTTGTAAACTGTTAACAATATTGCAGAGAAGCTCAAATTCCTTTTTAGCTCAAAACATTCTTCATGTAGGTAACCGTAAGAAGCTAAGAGCCAACCAGTTGTTCCTTCATGCATACTGAGGGCCTCTGAAAACACTGGTAATTTTAAGAGTCTTTCTCAGGGTAACAATGTTTTCCTAATGAACAGTGTTTCAAGCTACAAATTTCTTGCAGATAAACTGTCTTTCCTTTCAAAAAGTAGTCTTATAAAAGAAATTTAGCAATTTTTGCATTGTCCAGTTCAGTCCATATAAGTATTCAGAAACATTTTCATCTCTGTGGTGTTAATACTGTGCTATGAAAATTATTTTAAAAATTCCCATTTTTGATAAATTTTTTTTCTACTGAAGGTAAAAGGATAGTAAACAAGTCATTTTTTTCTTGTATGCATGCATTATGTAAAAACGTATTCTTGTTTGCAGTTTCTGTTAAGCATAATAGAGTGGTTGTGATTTTAAAAATTTAATTCATTGTTTCATCTGAGTAAAATAGGCAGTGATCAGGCTATCTCCTAAGAACAGTTCATTTCTTATTCCCTTCCAGTGATCCTTGAACTCTAAATTTTCATTTTTGAGAAATACTAAGAGGGGAATATAATTAAATTGGGAGATAATCTTTGTTTTTAAAATAGAGTAACTTTTCACCATTGAAGCCATTTTTCCCAACTCAGAAGAAATAATGCCTCTACCATTTTCTACTGGTGACAAGAAGTTGAAACTTAGTTAGGAAGAAGTCACTTAGTGTCTGGGAACTTGTATATCACAATCTATGCATCATTGTTATAATCTGATTATTTCTATGTTTCAAATATGATTTTCTTAAAATACTTTGAATAAAATTTTGTTAAAAATTAATTTTTCACTTAATGTGCAATGAATAGTTACTGAACTTTTTAATATATTAAAAGTGAAAGTTATTTAAAAAGACCATGTTTTAAAATTCATTTTTGTTTTGAAAATTTCCAGTATTTTATATTTATATTAGCACTATCTAAACAAAATAGTATTATTGTTCTTTTCAGAAATGGTATGACACAAAAGTCATGTGTTAAAAACATTAATATAGCACCAAAAAAGTTAATGTTCAGTAAAATCTCCTTTTAAGTTTCTCAACCAATAGGCAGCAAATTAGCTTTAACAAAAGCCAAATAAATATAAAAATATATTCTATGTTCTTTATAATGTAGTATTTAGTACTAAAGATTAATGAAAAGGTAATTTTATACCCCCAAAGTTATCCTTTTTTAATATATGTACTATCTATAGTCATATTCTGTGAAAGAACAACCAAAAAAGGTCTTTGGGCTGAAAGTGTGGTAAGCGAACTTATTTACTAAAAGCTATTGAATATCCAATTTGATGAATTTTCCTTCCAAAAAACTAAATTATTCAAGGATGAGAAAGTTGCCAATTTTAAAACAGTACTAAATGTAGTAGTGTAGAGAAATTTTATTAAAAGGGTAAAGTTATTAGATACTTTTACCTGAAAATTTAAAAAAATCTTAACAGTGAGACTAATTTGCCTATGGTTGTCATTTTGTGTAACATGTATCATGATGGAGTTACTTGAAAGTAATTATTTTAGGACAAAACTTTACCATTCTACTAAAAAGAGAGAACATGGAGATATTTTTCAACATAGTTCATCTTAATATTTGGTTCCTTGTAACTTTGCTAAAATCACAAAAATACTATCCCCTGAAAACATCTTTTCAAAAAGTATACATCACTCTATGATATTAATTTATCAAGTTATTTCTCTCCCTGTAGCTTTTTATGTTGTTATTGCCTTCAAAATTTTAGTTTGGTTTGGTCTAAGCTCTTCTTTAGGAATGTTGGATTTATCTTTCCATAGAATTCTGTTTCACTCTGATTAAATGCAAAATCCTGTGGAAAAAATCTTTTATTAGAAATTTTTTATAATCACTGTTTTCATAACCTCTGCACTTTAAAAGTTACATTCTTAATTAAAATACATTTATATTTAATGTGATCACTAGAATTTAACTATTTTGTTTGTGACTTTCAGCTTATGTAGATTTACTGTTCAGGGAACTTCTTTTTCATATATATTGTATGTTCTTTCACATTCAGTGCTTAGTCTCTCTTGAAGTAATGTTCTACGTTACCTTTCTACAGGCGATGTGGTAGGTAATATTACATGTGCCAGAAGAAATTGTTAAATCACGTGATTATTTGACAGTACTTAAAGGAGTTTGATCAGTCAGTACTTTTGAATATCTCTATTGGAAACTACTAAACTATCATCATCTCTTGTCATTAGAGGCTTACACATTTTTATATTTCTGCATATGGTTACTCAGAAGAGTGCCTTGCACATAAAAGGAGTTTAATTAATATCTTTGACCAAGTGAATGAATTAAGAATCATAAGAAATTGGAATTTTATTGAAAATTACTACATTTTTATAATATTTAAATGGATATTATTTCAAAATTATCAAGCAAGTAAAAGAAAACATATTTGAAGTTAAAATTTCAGTAAGTGCCAAGATTAGATAAGGAAAACTTGTGTTGCATAGATTTACGTGAAAACATAGCTGATGTCACCAGCAAAGGGGCTCTTGTGGTTGGAGCCCCTGTCCATTATGCTTCCAGTATGATTTAGTCTCATTCATTTTACATTTTTACATGTAGACAAATTCGAGGTTTATCACAAATAGAACACAGTAAAGTATAAATTAAATTTAAAAATTGTAAAGTCTGACCAGTAGGCCCATTAATATTAACATAAGTATCTCACCTTCAGAGTATCTTCTCTCTATTCTCTAGAGTCTATACAGAGAACTCAAAGCAGTAAATTATTTGAGGAACATTCTGTTGGTAAGGTAATCTACATTATATTTAATAGTAAATATTATTATTACTTAGACCAAAGCAGATTCACAATTGAAAATTGTAGGCTAACCAGCAAGGGTTTGGGGGAATTTTTAAAATATCCAATACATAAAACATTTATATTGACGAAAAAAGTCAAATTGACCAATTTTTTTATGTGTTGAACACAGTATTTTAGAAGTTTGAACTTAAAAACATAAAAACTTAGAAGAATTGGATAATTTTAGTAAATTTTATTGAGCAGTCCTGTCCTAAAAATATTGATTCATCCCAAGTTAAAGAGTTTTAGCACTGTGCCAGGGATAAGTGAGAAATGTGGCATCTCTTTAGACCAGCAATATATACTCCATGTTAAGTATTTTACATTAAAATATTTACCAATGTATTGAGCAAAATGTGCATTAATTTTACATATAAACCATACTACTTCAAAGCAGTTTTAATCTTGTAGTCGATCATTAGTTTTATCCTTCTTGCCACAAAATACTGAAGAATCTTCAGACACAATATTCAATTTAATTACACTCCATACAGGACATTTTTCTTTAAATCTTGTCTTCTGGCTTGGAATGCAGATAGCACAATAAATTTTCACTAAGCATTTTGTTTTATATATACTGAATTTCAAATTATGCCATTTTAATGCAGTTTTATAATGCATGTTTCTAGGTCTTTTCAGAATCCTTACAGTGATTCCTTGATAAATAAGTATTGGTAAAATAAACATGGAGTAGGAATTTTCATTTGTAATTCATATCCATGTGCACCAATACCATTCTCTCCTACCTAATTGGAAGAGATATTTCTCTTTTGCTCCAGCCCTAACCTTTGGATTCCTGTCTTTCCACATAAAACAACTTTATCGATAATAACAATAAAAATGATCATGGCTATTATCTACTGCGTGTTTACTGTGTTCTAGGCACTGTGCTAGATACTTTTACATAACATGATTTCATTAAATCTTCCAAGACACATTATATGGCAGATACTTTTATATATGAAGAAACTTATGCAATGAACTTAGGTGCCTTTTCCAAAATGTCACAGCTATGACTAAGAAAGAATGGCTGCTATCAAGAAATCAATAACAAATGTTGGTGGGGTTGTGGGGAGAAAGGAACCCTTCTCCATTGCTGGTGGGAGTGCAGACTTGTGCAAACACTATGGAAATCAATATGGAGACACCTCAAAGAGCTGGGACTAGAGGTTCCATTTGACCCAGCCATCCCTCTGCTGGGTATCTTTCCAAAAGAATTAAAGAATCATACCACAGTGATATATGTGCACCTATGTTTATAGCAGCACAGTTTGTAATAGCTAAAACTTGGAAACAGCCCATTTGCCCATTAGTTGGGAACTGGATAACGAAGATGTGTTTTTTCTATAAAATAGAATACTACTTAGCCACAAAGAATGAGAAATTAGATTCATTCATAGGAAATGGATACATATTGAGGTTATACTCCTAAGTGAAATAAATAAGTCACACATGTGTAAATACCGAAGTTTCTCTGGTGTGGAAAACTATAATAGTACATAAGATCTTAATGATATAATTGACCATGAGGAATATGAAGAAAAGGGCTAAAGGAGTAGGGAAAATGGGAAGGGTAGGGGAAAAGTAATAAGGGAAAAGAAAAATATGACAATGAAAAAATGGAAATAAAGTGTTTGTAAATGGGGAGAGGAGGAGGGGTGAAGGGAGGGCAGAGACAAGGGGAAAAATGAGAACCAAGACCTGTCATGTAAAGGTACAAGATCCCAATGATGAACGTCATTGTGCTGTATACCTTAAATGTACCAACAAACTCAATAAAAGAAAAAAAAAATTTTGTCTAACCAGTTTGAGTCCCAAGTCAGGTCTCAACATAGCTCTGGCTCCAAACAACCACTACCTTATTGTCTTATCAACTTTGTGTCTTCAGTGTCTCTACCAATACTTTCCTCACAATATGGAATAAACATTATCAAAGCTTTCGGGTAGTGAAATCCTTCAATCCTTACAGAAAACACCCCCCCACACACACAAGTATTCAATATATAAAATATATTCAATTATCTTAGTCTCCCATTATCCAGCTTATAATATATCTTCTATCCATGACAATATGAGTTTTACCCACAGCTCTCCCTACAGTATTTTTTTTCCATTGAGTTTATTGGTACATTTTAGGTATACAGTATAATTACATTCATTGTTGGGATCCTGTACCTTTACATGACAGGTCTTGGTTCTCATTTTTACCCCTTACCCCTGCCCTCCCCTACAATATTCTTAATGACTCAACAAAGACCTTCCTATTGTCAAAGAAATAGGCATTTTAATTGATCTTTAGAACATTTATTAACTATTCTCCATCTTTAGCTTCTGTAGTAGGATTGCTCATATTCTTGCTTCTTTATTCACATCTTGCTATGTTGGTATGTTTTGCAAACCCATATTTATGTACTTCCTGACTATCCATTCTGTTTCCTACTTTCAGTAACCCTATCCACATTTGGGATGTCAGCTATATTCTTCTGCTTATTCTTAACTATCTGCCTCAGCCTAGATATCTCTGGCACTCAGGCACATGTGCAGTGCTGTACAGAACATTTGATTTCATAGATGCCTCAAGCTCAAATCCAAATCAGAGCCCTAACTTACCCTACAAATTGCTTTATTTCCCCTGTTCATGTATATGTGAATGACAGCACTCTGTCAATCACTCAAATCAAAATATGAACTTAATTCTTGACTCTTCCTCATATCTATATCCAATTAGTCTCTAAGTCCTGCCAGTTCATCCCAATATTTTATATAGCCATCCACTTGTTTCATTTTAACTGCCTTTGCCTTATAAAATCCTTCCCTATTTTTCCATCATTTCTTGCCTGTTCTTTGTTGCTCCTCTTGGAAGTTCTGGTTTGCTCCGGTATGTTTCAGATGTTTTCCAGTGATCTCCCTATATGTGTGTTAGCATGTCAGACCTGACTTGTCCTCTAGCCATTCATCTC